CGTGTACTGAAGAGCCAGTCTGAGACTCTGCTCTGTCAGTCTGTCAGCACAACAGCAGCCTCTCTTGTTTTATTAAAGAGACCCAGGCTTGTCTGCACTCTCAGCTCCAATCATAACAGGGGTTCCCTGTCCTGCTCCCGGAGTCTCACACACCTGAGCACCCAATTAACTAATTGAACTCTTAATGATCCTAACCATAGGTTTAAATTGACCTCTTTAACTGTCTTCAGTTTATAAAGAAGCAGGAGGGCGCCTTTTAAAAATTGTGCTTCGTAAGTAACTGAAAATCTCCAGCCTTCCAGAGAAAAAAAAACCTTGCAAAGTTTCCAGCCAAACAACTTTTTGGTTCGGTAAGCATTAAGTAAAGAGCTAATCTTTAACCAGCAAGTGTGAGAGTCTCCAGGAACAGGACTAGGAATCTCCAGCTAATAAAATCAAGAATTCCACAGAATTCATGGAATTTTTTATAAAACGTGCACCTCCAGGCTGTGGGCACTGTGCTGGCAGTGACATCAGAGTCTCTCACCACAGAGAGTTCCCGGCCTCCATCAGCCCCTCTGACAGCCCTGCTCTTTCAGCCCGGTTGAAGAGGCTATCAGCTGCTCTCTAATGCTCCCCTTTCCATTCTCCTGCATTTTAATCCCAGCCGTCTTTGATGAAAGGCAAAGGAGGTTGGCTCAAAGTCCCTTTGTGCCGAGAAAGCCCTCCAGCCAAGAGCTCAAAGGCGGAGTGGGGTCGGCGCACATGACTGCTGGAAACAGCAGGGCAGGGAGGGAGAGTCACGAAGGAGCCGGAGAGGGAAGGGTCTCAGGCCACCATGGGCCAGGGACCCACTCTGCTCCAGACGGGTAAATTTAGAAGCTCTTATTGAGGATAATTAGTGTCAGAAGACTGAGATTTCCAATTATCTGTCGGCCACAGTGAGGAGACAGTCAGCAGGGATGACCAATCTGTGGAGAGGCTGTGCGGCACAGGCGGGCTCTGACACCGGCGCAGAGTGGTCACACGCACCCCTGGCGGAGGGCAGCAGACAAATACCTCACAGCACTTGCCTTTTCTCACACCAGCAGTTTCAATTCTCTCCTCCCCCGGAAAGGTCAGCTTCCCCTGAAGTGAATTATTGATTTTTCTTCCATTGCTCAGAGCATGAAAGCATTCATCGGTGTTCTCTGTACGCAGCCTGACTGCACCATATACAAACACAGTACTGTGACACATCAACACAGGGCCGCGTAACCACAGTTCAGGATCATCTGAGGAGAGGCAGCTATCAGCACCTTCCTGAGAATCCTCTTTAAAACAGAATCGTTTATTGTTTTTCAAAAGAGGAGATAAGGAGGTGCCAGCGCAGAGAAACACTGGCACCAGCAGATCATTCAGATCTTGGATACAGACAGAGGGGCTCTGCATGGTTTCGTGCATTCACAGAATATTTAACATTTCTGTTAATGGAGCGCAGTAGGAAAGGAAAAAGGTGTCCCTCTATAATTTAGAAACCGCCCGAGTTTCTTTTTTCGCTAGGACTGAACAGTACTACAACACGGCAGGACTATTGCCCATCCATCACGCACATTCGTTAACAACATGAAAGTAAGGCACGCTGGAAATCAGGCGGCTGTATTTTACAGAACTCCAGTTTTCTCACAATTCCCAGGGAACACCCTTTCCGGGAATCCCGGGTAATTTTATTCGGGGAAAATTCCGAGTGCTGGGGCGATGTGCTATATCTGTAGATCCCCACGACTTCACAAGCCAAGTTTAATGTACAGTACAGCGCTTGTCAACGCATTCAGCGCCTATTGCTGTATTGTGATAACTGCAAACATTTTGGTTGAAATGCCAAAACTCAGCGAAAACACAGGGCTGGGACGAGCATCTTAATAAAGTTTAAAGCAAACAAATGAGCGACCTCAGCGACGGATAAGAAGCACCTTTAGTCCGCTATAAATAAAAAATATTAAGTAGATATAGAATTGAAAGAGACACTAGTTTATGTTAATGCTAAGAGGGCGACGTTAAAATGAATGGGAAAATTCCCAGAACACCATCATGTCAGCAAATTCATACCACTTTGTGACTCAGTCTCGCCAAGAGCAGATTTTGGAAGTTTCTTCTGATGTAGTTCAGCTAATTCAAAGTTTTACCAAAGCGTCACGCACAAAACGCACCCCATCCTATAAAACAGCCCTGCCAGCTAGAGCACACTCACATGATCCCAGCGAATTCCTTCAGCCCGTGCAGTCCGGACCCTGGGAAGAACTAAGACTCAGTCGCTCCCAGTCCTGGCTGGGTAGTTTCAGTGTTTAAAAGCCAGTAAATGCTTGGGGATTTCCTAGCGCCGACCTCTGTCTATTGGCTGGCGTGGGCGAGTCACATTTTTTCCACAACATTGGCCAAAAGCCACATTAGGAAGCCTCAATGAAATGCAAGCCATTTTTAAAAAAAAAACGATTCAAATCTTTGTCATTTTATAACTTTGTAAAAATAAAATGACATGCCAAACGGCAACTGATCTATTTCGGAAGCTGTACTCTACATAATATATAAAACTCCGTAGCCGGTATCATGTCCTATAATTTTAATCAGGTTTTGAGAATTATACTCTTTTCAAGTGAGTTGACAATTTGCTGCCGGTGCCTGTTCTTATCAGCGCTCCTCCGCGCCCCGCCTAGCCTCAGGTTATTCTGACAGAAAGGAGGAGCGCAGTTTCGGAGCATTGCAAAATAATTTCAGACGGCCGGCAATCGTTTTAAAGGACCCTGAACAAATTCAATAACACGGTTTCTGTAACGTGCATTAGCTAAAGACTTTTATCGATTGACCCTTTTACAGCTTTTCTTTAAAATGCGATAAAACGAGTCGCTGGCTGCCATGCTATTCGGGGCTATAGCAGCAATTGCTTTGAGTTAATTTTTCAAAACGGGCGTCGACATTTGTGAATTAGAAAAAAAAAACAACATTATAAAATGTTTATTAGTATCCCTACGAAAGGGTAACAAAACGACCCGTTCCCATACCGGGAGTCGAACCCGGGCCGCCTGGGTGAAAACCAGGAATCCTAACCGCTAGACCATATGGGAGCTCGTAAACCTCCTTCTTCACAGAAGCTTATTAGATTCGTCTATGTGCACATAACGTTACATCAATTAGATGCGATCTGGGTTCTTTCCTATGCGTGGGATATATTATACTACCGTTTCTGAAGCCCGATAGAGCTACATCGCAGAAGCAGGGCAAGGCAGAGCAGCACTGGGGCGGGAGAACTCCCAGAAAAACCGCCTGCTGCCGTAAGTGACGCTGGTCGACCAGTAGGTGGCGCTCGTCCGCTCAAATAGAATTTCAAGAGTAAAGCCACTGCATGATAAGGGGTCACTGTGCTGTTAGGGAACCCATTCTTTAGATATGATACACCAAACTCTAGGTCACTTCACCCACTTCAATGTGCCGGCCCCATTCGGGTCAGGCTCACTAAACACTCCTCCACGCCGTGAGCAAGATTCGACAACAGACAACCACACTCATTGCAGCCACTTTCATCAAGAGCTTATATACTATTTGTTTTCGTCTTAATTGCAGGGGTGGAGCATTTCAGAGAGCCAATCCAAATCACAACGACAAGTGGAGTACCGTGTGCCTTGCTCATCTCAGTTGGCCCATGTAACCCTCCCAATGCACAGGTATAAACGCGACTATCCGTTGAATCACAGATGATACACAGCATCCTTTCCCCACCTAGTGTTGGCCTTCGGTAGTGCAGTGTAAGGATTTCCCGCTTGAAAAAGATGAGCGAAGAACACTTGTGAAAGACACCCGCTCCCTCTACTGGCAGATTGATAATAGTACAAGACCTCAAAATAATTTCCTTACTTATATAGCGCTTTTCTGGACACCTCACTCAAAGTGCTTTACAGGCAATGGGGACTCCCCTCCACCAGTGTCCAGCCCCACCTGGATGATGCACTAGCAGCCATAGTGCACCAGTACACTCCTCACACACCAGCTCTCAGTGGGGAGGAGAGCAGAGAGATGAAGTCAGTTCACAGATGGGCATTATTAGGAGGCCACGATTGGTCAAGGTCTAGGAGAAATTTGCCCAGGACACTGGGGTAACACCCCTACTCTTTTCAAGAAGCACCCTGGGATTTCCAATGACCACAGAGTCGGAACCTTGGTTTTACATCTCATCTAAAGGACAGTGCCTTTTTACTCGGCCACACAGACCCCAGGCTGAGCACCCGCTGCTGGCCCCACCAATAACTCTTCCAGCAGCAACCTCAGCTTTCCCAGGAGGTCTCTCAGCCAGGGACTGACCAGGTTCACACCTGCTTCGCGCCAGCAGGAAGTCAGCTGTAAGATGCAGGGTGATAGAGCTGCTGGCAATATACAGCATCTTTACACTGAACATCAAGATAAAGCTCTGTTTATGCTCACACAAAGCATTTTTATTTTTGTGAATGAAGAATACGGACTGATCAGTTGTTGACATTTTGATTAATTGATCTTCCACGACTGATCATGACACATGCAAATGACTGATGGCGTAAAACTGCATCAACACTAAGGCCACAGCTGCTGAGTGACGAGCCTGACTGAACAGAGGTGCTATACTGATCAAGTCTGGGCACCTCGTGCTGCCCTTCCCGATGCAGGCGGGTGACAAACACTCTCATAACGCTTGTGTACCAACTGCTGTCTCGCTCCACTCACTAAACCTGAGCCCTGTTGAACATTTGTGGGATGAGTTGTACTTGCGTGCGGCTTCTGGGGCTCTACAAGAGGAACAGGAGAATCCACAAGGACCTGGTGCAAAGCATGAGTCTCGGCTTCTAAAACTGTCCCCACACGCTGCTGTCCTGCAAGCTTACAGTGGAGCTGCTCTTGATGACAAATGCTACATCAGCATAATAAAATTAGTCCATTAAATAAAATATCCGAGTACTGACTATAGAAAAGATTGCACAGTAATTTGAAAATATGATAAAAAAGGAACGACAAAAATACAAATTGAGGAAGTGTTATAATTCTGCATCATGCAATAAATAATTGAGAACAACTGAATTCTGAAATATAAAACCATTGTACGCATTTTATTCAAGTTAGTCCTTGCCATGAGGATGTCTGTTCCAGGGATAAACATCCAAAAGTGCCACCGGATTAAAAAAAAAAAAACTTGAAGGGCTCGTTTTTCCAATTTTCACAATGCCCGTTTACAAGAAGGGGAGTTACTTTGGTCGGATGTTATTCAATATATATTTTACTTTAATAGAACACCAAGAACCTAGCGGACCTGGCTTTATGCATCACAATTTACAAATAGTGACTAATTCAGACAGTGAAAAACGTACACAAAATAGATTCATCTCATGCATTGAGCATCTTTTCTCTCCCCGTCTCGGGTCGGGACTGTCGACGTTGTTCGGATCCCAAAAAGGGGCACCAATGCCTTGATTAAGTCCTCGATTTATAGCCACAGCTCAGACTCCCCATCCTCATTCTTCGTGAATGTTGAAGAGCTTGGCCACTTCATTTAGATCTGCGTGCTCCTCTCCATCTTTGATAATCTGAGCATATGAGAAGAAATAAACATGTGCAGTTTACACGAGGCTGAAGACAAAGTCCAGCTCAGATACGCAGAAGAAATGCAGGCAGGCGAAAGCCACTGTACTGGACAGAAAAGTGGAACAGAGGGAGAGAACACAGTGCCTCCAGCACATTTCAAACACGCACTCTGGCTGGAGCCTGGGCTCTGTCAGTGGGGTAACAGCTGGATGCCAAGACTTTCCAATTGGTGGCACAAAATTGTTTTGAGTGGCTTGTAGCTGGCCATGGTGTCCTCGACTTGGCCCACAGCTGAGAACTCTGCCAGCTAGAGCTCCACGCCCACCTTAGCACTGAGGCATGGCCAGGGCACTGGCAGGCCGTGTGGAGAAACACACGCACAGGCCCCCATCCCTAACTCCCACTAGCAAGTGGCAAAGAGCAAATCAGGGGACGCAACAGAAAAATCACCGATGATCCCCTGATGAAGGAAGCATGCCAGGAGAGTGACAAGACACTCCATAAGACCTGAACAAATGACCCAACTGACCAGCTCTCTTTTTGTTTGCAGCTAGGGGTTTGCTAGCAAAGGGAAAGCAAGACAAAAACAGTGTTTTCTTTGCCTACAAGGTTATGTAACAGGAGCTCTGGAAAGAGGCTACACAACCACGAGCGCAGGCTCGGACACCCGCTCCAAGACACTACAGCGGCAGCTCGTCTCTGCTCACCTTCCTGGCAATGGGCATTCGGTTGAAGACATTCCACAGGATGACGCCCACTACCACCTTGTCCCGCAGGTAGAAGATGACGCCCTTCCCGTAGTCCTCTCCCTGCTCCGGTACCCGTGGCACTGAGGGAGCTTTGTCTGGCACCCCGGCCGTGCTGGCAGTCGCCTCAGTCTCGCTCTCCGATCGGATGCCCGTACCTGCACACAATCCCAGAGGAACGGGATGAGTAAGAACATCGGAACAGCGCCAGGGAGGTTTGAGGACAGGCTGCTGGATACAAATTACTTAGGCCCAATTACCATCTTCAGACACTGGCACCGGATGATTTTGTTAATGAGCCTGGTTAAAAATAAAAAAAAACTCAGTTAAGCTGAGCAGCAATGCTGAAGCTCACTGCCACACCGGCAGGTTTCCAGAGGAATGAATGAAGAGGAAAAAGAAAGTCCAGCATGAACAGATCTCAGTCTCACGGCTGTCGCACAGGGTACCTGACTCCTCTGCAGCTGCTCTGGGGGTGTCTTTCGCAGTGGCTTTGGCAAACACACCCACAGTGGGGAGGCTGCTGTCTACAATCCCAATGGCTTCATATCCCACCTCCGGCCCCAAGTCACTCCTGGAACACAGACAGGGCTCAGTGCAGTAACAGCAGCACGACGCAGACAGGGACACCACCACCTGTCAGAGCCTCAGCCCCCTCGAGGACACAACGCTGGAACTCAACACCAGCCTGACGGAAAACACAGAGCGCAGCTGGCAGATCATCCTGCTCACAGAAACGTTAAGACAACTGACAGCTGTCGTGGAAAAAAAAAAGGGATCTGGCCTCGCAACTGAAAAACAAAAGCGCTCCAGACTCCCAGGAACTCAAAACAAACAAACAAAAAAAGATGTCCCCCTTCTTTCAAGGCCTTGTTAGAACAAAGCACCCCCCTCCCCTGAGCCACACGCTGTCCTTTGACTGAAGGCGGCCCGCCGCCCGGCGCTGGGCAGACTCACCAGAACATGGACTGGTGCCAGTAGGGTTTGTTGGCGCCGGTCATGTTCTCCCCCGCCAGCCTGCCGCTCACCACTGCGTGGTCGTGGTGCTCCACCCGCCGCCGGCCCAGCTTGATGTCATAGAAGCACGCGGCATCGCCAGCCTGCGGGCACAGCGCAGCGAGGTGCTGGTCAAGCCCCGCCCGGTCTCTACAACCCCGTCGCCTCGCTCGACACCCCAGGAGAAGGAGCAGCAGTTTCAAACATGCTCGCTGCCTCCTAGCTCGACATCCTACTGTACACTGTAGCCTAGACCACACACACTTACTACTTTCCACACTAAGCTCAGCTGTTAAAGCAGCACACATACACAGCCAGGCTACTATAGTCTAGTACTTAACGCTCAGGCCAAATGAACAAGGTTAAAACGAATAACCACTTATCCTTTACATGTCAGACTGAAATGATTCAATGTTTGCAGTTAGCTGTATAAAAGCAATTTTAAAGCCGTTACGTTCTGTGGTTATAATACATTAACTTGAAAAATGGCATTGTATGATGTGAAAGAGCTATCAACCATTTCAAAACGTCTACCGTGCTTAACATTTCAGCATCTGAAACCAACTGTTGACATCAAAGGAAACGTCCGCCTTTCCACCCTGCTCTCCGGCACGTACCACCCAGATGTTGGAGCGAGCCTGGAGCTCTGCGTTGACCCTGAACCCTCCGAAGTCCGAGTCCACCTCCAGCCCCCCTGACTTGGCGAGCTCCACGCTGGGCTCCAGCCCCACCGCGGCCACAAGGTGGTCAGTTCTCACCTGTCCAGGGACAGACGGACAACCTCACAGCCGCCCTTTCTCACAAAGCATCATCTGGCCATTATCCATTTGCATTGAGAAACTTCAAGCACACAACTGTCTAATAAAAGTTTTATGACGTAAAATTGGAAACATTTTTGGGTACCTCAAATTGCAACCACTGAGTTTTCTTCTGCTTCCTTCCATTATGGCACCAGGAAAGTCGGACCCAGAATTAGTCATGTTTGTGATCAGATTTCATCAACTGCATCTAATCTACTTTGAGAAAGGGACCAACAGTGCTACTTTATTCTGCAATCTTTCTTCACCCCGTTATATTTAATAGAACTGTTTTTCCACACTTACCTGTCTGCCATCCTTCAGTTTAATTTCCAACTTCCCCTCCTGATACTTCACTGACTTCACCAGCGCTTCTGGCATGACGTTCACCCCCTCTGCAACAGACCACACAGCCCATGGGGAACTGCACAATCACAGAGGGAGGGACGTGAAGAGAAGGGAAAAGTCGGGGTAGAAGTAACGAGCGCCCCCTCACCTCTCCTGACCTTCTCTGTAGTCCAGTTACTGAGATACTCCGGCAGAACCTTCCCCATGTTACCTCCTTCAGGGAACATCTGTATGACCTCCAAACCAGTTTCCTTTGCTGAAGAAGATAATCCAAAAGTAATTTTAAAACCATTTCAAAAAGAACAACAGTTATTGTCATGTAAATACAGAAGCTGTAATAACAGCAGTCCAGCAGGAACTTCAACAGCAAAAATGTGTATTTTTCTAAACGCGTAATGGTTTAGATATTGTGACTGTGGAGAGCAGGACACTCTCCTGTACACACCTAAAGAATCACCACAGCCAAAACATATGGACACTCTACTTGTCTACTTGCATTCGGCTCTTTTTTTAAAGCATACCTCTCCTCCCTAGGGCGCAGGCCAATTCGCTCCCCAGAAATCCACCTCCGATAATGGCTATAGACTCCACTTCCCTGGAAATCTTCTCCAGGGACTTGAAGTCTTCGATCTGAAAAGGAGGAGATGGAAAAACAAGCAAAATCAAGCTTCAGTAAGCTAAAACAGCTACACAAGCAACCACATAACAGCACTACCATCACTTTTGGGTTCTGTCATGAGATCTGCACTTCAGCTAGTCAAGGATATACAAAGGACAGGTTCTACAAGGTAGATTTAGGGAAGGCTGTAAAAGAGTGCAGAAAATCGTCAATGAGGAGCCCACTCACCTTCCTGAACAGAGTTGTCCTCTTCATGACCTCCTCCCCAGCCCGCTCAATGGCTTGGATATTCCTGGGAATTCCACCTAAAAGCAGAAACGGAGACATCAGCCCAAAGTAGGAGAAGAAACGAGATGAAACATGGCAGTGGACAGAAGTCGTCACGAGTTGAGGGTTACAGTCAAGCACTTCACCATGAGGCAGACAGAGATCTAGAATGTCTCCATGGCAGAGAGTAAGCAAGACACTCCACTGACCCGACTGAGACAGAGGCTCACTTTTAAAACCCCACTTCACCCTGGTAAGTTGCAAGTAATAAGAGAGACGTCCAGCGAGCTCACCTGTGGCTATCAGACACTTCTCATAGGAGATTTCTGAGCCGTCATTCAGGCACACTTTGTTCCCTCTGACATCCATGTGCACCACCTACCACAGAACAGGACAGGTCAACAACACCCGGCAGAGATCAAGCTCGAGAAAATTGCAGGACTCACTGATTCTGGGTGATGCTTGCAATGGAACCACAAAGATAAAAGTAGCCCAGATGTTACAAGTTCAGGGTATATGATCAGGTGATTTTTCTCTGGGGTGAGCTGACTGCTTTTTATAAGGTCATTAACCCCACAGGCAGCAGCATTTTGAAGAAATTCAAAACGGAGGCAGAAGTGACAAACCTTTTTGCTGCTGAGAACTGCCACTCCTCCATTCTCAATATGGGGCAAGTCTTGAGGGCTGACATAGAAGGAGGGCGGCTGGAAATAGAGGCTGCAAAACAGTGAACATGTCAGTGAAAAAGCTCCAACATCGGATTTTGATGAAAGTATCAACTAAAAAGCAAGAGGCCTACAGCAAAGGCTACGATATCTCATGAAGTACCAGAATGTGCCAATGACATTAAGATTTCTCTTCAATTCCAGCTGGTACCTTCTTCTACACAGTACAGGCGCCTGTACAGGTAGCGTGCATAACCTTGTAAAGAGCACCTGTCCCATCACACCCATGCAGCAGAGAAAGTCACCTTCGCTCTTTGCCGTTCCACTGTTTGAAGCGCAGAGTCTCCGTCACGTGGGGGTCATCGGAAAACCAGAGCTCCTTCGAGAGAGGGGGGCGCATGTAGGGCAGGTTGGGCTCCTCCGAGATTATCAAGACCTGTAGTAGGCAGAGCCACTCTTGAGTAACTCAAGCAGTCAAATATCGCTTCCTGCCCCTCAGAGCACTGAGGCTCAGCATTCAGGACTCCTCCATGAACAGAGCCCCGGTCGCTCGGGGAAGCACAACGCGATCCAACTCAGTGGAGTCAAGGAAGAGCACGACGCAGGATCCCGTCGCATTCCAGCAGAGCACACGTACGCAAAACCGCAGCAACACTGCGCAGTCAACGGCGAGCTGGAACACTGGCTTGTCACCTGGCCCAGGACTCACCCGTGCACCCGGATCCCGCGCGCGGATGGACCGGGCCGCGGCGAACGAGGCCGTGCCACCGCCAATGAGGAGGTAGGGAGCGTGGGAGGGAATCTCGGAGCGGGCAGCAGCAGCAGGAGCTTCTCCTGGAGGACACACAGACACAGGGCTCTTACGATCCCTACATCCCTCATTCCCGGCCTCTTTCCTCCTTCCCGGCATCCAGCCAACACGCACCCCCATCGGCAGCAACCGGAAGGGCCGAGGAGCATGAACATGTGCCAATCCACCTCTCCCGGGAAGATGTGTATAAAAGGAAAGTCCTCATCAACACACATGACCCTACCGCCTTTAACTTACAAATAAAATCTGAAGTACCAGTACGACACCTGCGTGACTTGAGAGAGATGGCGGAAATCTGAAAAGGGCCAGAACACACGGGAATGTCAGGAGAGGCCCCTTCTGTCCACCCTCTGCTCTTACCACTGTCAGCTGCAGCTGTGGGGGGCTGGTCTGTCGATTCTGCAGGGACGGACTCTGACACAGGCGCAGCCTCTGCTTGTAAAACCCGAAACATTAAAAAGAAAAACTCTTCTTTAGTCCAAACAACGTTCAGCAAAAAAAATAGTGTTACATTCTGGGCTGCAACACATGCGTGAGAGACCGGAAAGAACACCAATGTCCCAGGAAGCATTCTTTCTTTACTAATAAAGGACCGGAAGGAAAGAATTCAAGCTGGATTTATCTTCATTTAAAACTTTCAACTTTGTAAAAGTTTCAGTGGAACAAACAGAAGACGGAGGAACGAAGAGACTTAAGTGCCATTGCAGGGATTCACAAAAAACAATGCATCCCGTGACTCCCAAGACATCAAGACACCACTGGGAGGCTCTGGAAGGTGAAGCCCACGATCCAACCACAGATCCCAGGCTGACACGAGGAGGGGAAAGACTGTTTGGCACCATCTCCTTTCCTGCATTCGCTTCCTCACAAGCAAAGAGGGAACCCTGCCAGCAAGCAGGGGCTGTGGCTGGATTGGGGAAAAGGCAGCACTCGTGCACTGAGGGTTAGTGTGCCACACTGACGGCGGGGAGAAGTGAAAGGGCACAACAGCATGCTTTTTCAGAGCTCTTCCTCCACGGTGCACAGAGAGTCAGAGACAGAGTGGGGAGGGGATGGGGAACAGAGCTGGGCCCAGGTTGCTCAGGAGGGTTAGTACGTTAGGGACGAGCCAGGAGTGCTCCCTCCACTTCCGACAGGCCAGCACAGCGGAGAGAAAGAAGCTTGATGGAAGAGACGCAAAAGACATTCGGCTACTTTTTCAACGTGGTTAGAAAAGCCCAAAAGGAGAGAAGCTTCTTCCCTTCACCTTGATGTAGATTTTCTGTTCTCTTGCCAATAAACATCTGCTAAAAAATAAGCTCCAGTTGTGAATTGTTTTTAAAAATAGAACCTTGAGCTTCTGAGACTTCAGCCGGTCCCTCAATTTCCACCTGGGGGTCGGCGCGGGCTCCTGAGGCGGGGGGCTCTGCCCCCTCACCTCTCTGCTCCCGGGGGTCCCCTTCTGATAAAGCAGGGGCTGCACTCTCTGCTAAAACCTCCCCCTCCTCCTCAGCACTCTGCAGGCCCGGGTCTTGATGGTGAGAAATCACAGCAAGTCCAGACGGCTCTGAATCTAGCGTTCTCTTTAGATTATGGACGGTTATCGAGGGCAGGGAAGATAAGCGCACAGCACGGAGAAGGCAAGACAGCACAAACTACTGTTTTGCAAACCATCAAAAGCATAAAGGAGCATGAGAATACACAGTCAACCAGACATTCATCAGTGTCGGGAAACTCAAAACAGACTTATTGCCTCCATCTCACTGGAACTGAAGCTCCAGTTTCATACTTCAACATTGTCCTTTTAACAAGGCATGCCTCATTGCATATGCCTTTGTACACACACAGTCTCATTTGTTTCAGGCTATACTGTCCAGGCGCAGGCTGTTTTTAGTTTTTATAGTTTACTGGCAGTTCCATCTTATAACGCACACTGTCAAACTATGGGAATACATCAGAATGATCAAATATTTTCCTTCTCCCATTATTGTTATCAAGTAAAGATCTTAAAAATTAGTCAAAACTAACCATACACTTTCCAGTAAGGTATATATGGCTTGCACACTCTTGAGACAGTGAATACAGTGGAAAGTTTAATAGTCCATCATGGATTCAATGATGTAGTTGGATGATCATGATGATGCACTGTAAATGCATGTCAACTCATCAGAAATAATAAAAGGCCAGCAATCCTCCCAAGTGATGTCAGATTCTCCATGTTCCTTCAGGATACAAGCTAAAAGCTATCTGTTGCATCAACAGGTGATTCCCAATCACAGACATTCTGCTCCGACTGTGACAGCAGCTGTGCGGCTGAAAAACCGTTGGGTTGATATTTCTGTCTTCAAATAGCATCACTCACCCTTTGTAGTTTCATCCGCTGTTTTCTCTGCAACAAGAAGAATGCATGAAATGCCAGTTAAAATGTTTGATTACACTGAGATAAAAATATCACAACATTCATTTACTGAAAAAACTAATTAACATGAAAAATATACTTGACACTTCTCAACAAATCCACAGAATATTTTTCAAGATGACAAAGTTCTGAGATGTGGTATTTGGAAATGACTGGTAAGACATTAAGCTATTTAAAGGCAGGTGAGGAGGCAGCTGGCTCTTACCCACCTGTAGGCTCCACCTGGCTGGGTGCTGTCTCTTGACTTGGCCTTGCGGCCAGCTTAGACATCCTTTCTTGGAATCTCCGCTTGTCTCCCTGTATGATGTTGTACACCTGCAAAAGAGGACCGTGACGGTTTCCAACACCAAACAGTCAATCTTTTCCACTTCGACGCAAGAGTGATCCAGAGTTTACCAACTTATCTGGTTTACAGTAGCAGAGTGCCCTCAAACTAAACGAATCAGCAATACGTCAGGTTTACTACTTACATACGCTCCTGCACCGAGCACAGATCCCCCCACAAGAAGATAATACAGCAGGTTCTGCCCACCGCTGCCGGGGACCCCAGACGACGCATGGACCCTCTGTGTCGGCCTCAGAGAGCTCTCGCACTTCAGAACTGGGGCGCAAGACGCAGAAACAGAGAAAAACCCTTTACTGCGCGCTCAGGTAACTCACGCGTGCATGTGAATGATAAGCACGGTGATTTGACATTTAGAGTGTCTTTCGCAGCTATTCTCAATTTACAATCGCCGGCATTTGACATGAAAAATAAAAAATGCTGCACTAAACTGGTTCTGAGATCATGATGAGAGACTAATATCAAACTATTACACAACAATCACCAAAGGCCACAGCGCTAATATTCTGCTTGAGGTTTGGTCTCGAATACGACTTTCTAACCGAGTTAGTAAATTGCTCAACACTTTTTCCAGGTCTAACACAGATGACACAAAGCAGTCACCGGTGTCTGGAATACATCAGGTTTTCTAAGTTTCTTTCAGCTACTAAGAGCTCTTCATTGCTAGTAACCTGTGCTAATAACCTGCTTTAAAGGCTCCTCCCTTGACTTCACGGAGCATTGATGGAGGTCTTTTAGACTTGCTCATGTCTCAAAGGAATACATCTTTGAAATGCCTGGATCATAAGCTCTAACGTAAGAATTCAAGCAGAAAGGCCAACCAGCCAAGATATTATTAGATGACTAAACCACGAAACTCTTAATTAGACAGCATAGTCTAAAAAAACTACATTCTTCCCACATTAAGTTTTAGCGATTAAAGAAAAAATATTTTACAGATTTAACAACATGCCGGACATCCCTCCTGTGGTTAATAAAAGCAAAGCCAACTTTGCTTTCGACGACCTTGGAAGAGCCCTGCGCATGAAAGCAGACACGGGTCGCAAATACTTCTAAGGTCGAGAAATAAGACCGCAGCAAACTCCGTCTCTGCGTTTCATAGAAACCGATCCCACCTCATCAGGGCTAACTCAACATGGCTGAGCCGGGCCGTCACAACACGGCCGCACTCCCCTCGGAAACCCCTCGGCCGGACCAGATGGGCTCAGGCGAACTGTGGAAGAGCCCGGGGTCGGGGATAGTTCAAATCCGGCACCTGTGCTGCTGAAGAAGGCCCACACGGCTTGACACGGCTTGCAGTGTGCGGCCACAGAGAGTGCGCTCCTCCCCACTCCAGGGTGCGCGGCCTACGCGCAATTCCTTAAGAGGCTAACTTCTGGTCTCTATTGCAACTGGCAGAACAGCAGCCTCGAGTGAACAGAGGTCACTCCCGTGTCACACTGCACGAGTGAGTGACACGGTTCAGCGCCGAAGACAGCCGTCGAGCTGCAGCAGATGCTTCAGAGTTCAGGACCGCTGCATCTGCACTGGCAGATCACACTCCGGCCCCTTCATCCACATCGCACCCCCAAAACAAAACAGCCCCGATGTCCCACCTGCTTTCTTCGCGTTTTTGCGGCACAATGTCGAGGACGTCCTGGCCAGAGGAGCCAGCTTTCTCCACACCGCCCTGCACTGCAGCATCTTCCGGAGGATTCCCACCAGCACCGGCGGTGCTCACTACCAGCGGAATAAAAAATAATCCAACTGCAGCCTACAGTACAGACACGACACCACAGCCCTCCTCTCAGCCAGGGTGCTGAAACTCCTGCAGCCTCTCACCCAGCGCAACCTCCTCTCACTGAACACCGGGTCAGCGCTGGGCCCTTCGCCCGGGTTAACCCCGCCCCCGCTTCGCCGCGATTGGCCGCCAGCGCAGCTAACCAGCATCTCAGAGGCCGCTTTTCCCATCAATCCACCGAAGCTGCCCTTCCTCAAAGATGATAGGCTATTATTTAGCTTCAGCGCGGAAGACCCGCCTAATCCTGTAAAGTAAAGATCAAGCGTCACCACCACCAAATTTTTATTGGTTACTTCAGACGTCCATCTATCTTTCGGCAACACCCCTCTTTTGATTGGCTTGCTTAAGAAAGAGGGGCGGGCTGGACGCGACTGCTTTCCGTTCCAATTGGACACATTCCCAGTTAACTTTTATCCGTTTTACGACCCCGGAAGTGGCAGTTCAATGTCACATGGAATAAAAAGGCTTACAAGTTTTGGTGTGGAGTGTGGAGTGAATGATTTGCATTGCAATAATTTTAATTAATTTATGGCAACAAATAGCTGAATAAGAGTTCGCGGGAGTACGCTTTATATGCTCTATGTAGTTACTGTTTGTTAAAGTACTGTAGATAATTTCCACCCTGTGAAGTACTTGCAGTAGGTCGATTATCCTAAAACATAAATAATACATCAGTTTCAATTGTTCCTGTTATTGGAGTACAATCTGGCATTCACAGATCGTGTGAATCATTGAACATGTGATGCAACTGAACGGAAAAGTAACAGAGCGAGATGACTAGATATCGTTATAGAAAAACCTCATCTTCTCAATAATACATCCAGGGACCTTCGATGGCTGCGGTGATGAACAGAATGGCGTATTTCGGAGGCGCCCTCACAAGGAGACCCTTCCGCTGCGTGGGGGTAGCGGGCCGGGGGTTCTCGCCTTCCTCCGGGTCGCGCTGGCAGCGCCGCTCTCCGGCGGGGTGCTGGGGGAGGACTGCGCGGCGCAGCCTGTGCCAGGACACCTCCCTGGCCGGCGAGCCCCACTACATCACCACTCCCATCTTCTACGTGAACGCCGCCCCGCACATCGGACACCTGTACTCCGCCGTCATCGCGGACTGCCTGCACAGGTACAAGCTGATGCGGGGATGCCGGTCGAGGTTTTCCACGGGTAAGTCACACGGGTGGCCCTGGCGTCACTGGAGGCGATGGGAATTCACTTAAATTGTCCTGAGGCCGAATTTCTCAGGCTTGTAAAAAAAAAAACTCAAAGCAAAACTTTGTGGACTTTAATGCACTTCACTTCATTTGTGTGTGCGCTTTCAGGGACGGATGAGCATGGATTAAAAATCCAGCAGGCGGCGCTAGCTGCCGGGAAAGACCCCCAGACGTTTTGCAATGAAGTATCCGAGAAATTTAAAACCCTGTTCCAGCGGTGCGACATTGCATACACGGACTACATCAGGACCACGGATCCCAGACACCGCAGCGCTGTGGAGCATTTCTGGAAAGTCTTGCGGGACAAGGGCTTCATCTACAAAGGGAGCTACGAAGGCTGGTATTCCACTCAGGATGAGAGCTTCCTGACCCCCTCACAGGTGGGGGACAGCGTGGACTCAATGGGGAGGCCAATCAAGGTATCCCTGGAGAGCGGTCACAAGGTGCGTCCACTCCCTCCGCCAGAGGTGGCGCTGTCATTTCACGCTGACTTTTAGAAGCGTGCCTTCTGGGGTTAGAGATGTCTAGTTCAATTACCATGAAACAGCTGTTTTTAAAGATTTGTATATTAATTTCTAATGACCATGTTTTAGTAATTGAATAACTGATAAAAGTTAGGATTAGGTTATAAATAAGAGAAGCAAACTGCACAGGTAGGAGAGGAAGACTTCCGGCTGCCTGTGTGTGTAGATATAGCCACTGGCTAGTGGAATTCTGTGTCCAGTTCTCGTAAACAGTGTCTAGGACTCTGCTCCCAGAGCCTGCTTGTCTTCAGAGACGGAGGCCCAGCTGTGTGGCTCTCCTGGTTTCTCACGCTCTCCCGTGTTGCTCCCTGTCCCTGCTAGGTGGACTGGGTGAAGGAGGAGAACTACCTGTTCCGCCTGTCGGCGTTCCGGGCCCCGCTGCGGGCGTGGCTGGCCGAGAGCCCGCAGGCCGTGCGGCCCGAGAGGTTCCACGCCGCGGCTCTCCGCTGGCTGCAGGAGGAGCTGCCCGACCTGTCCGTTTCGCGGCAGAGAGACCGGCTGCAGTGGGGGATCCCCGTGCCCGGAGACCCCAGCCAGACCATATACGTGTGGCTGGACGCCCTGGTCAACTACCTGACAGTAGCCGGGTACCCCCACTCCTGCGCTGAGTGGTGGGCCGCTGCCCATCACGTGGTGGGCAAGGACATCCTTAAGTTTCACGCCATCTACTGGCCGGCCTTCCTCCTGGCCGCCGGCCTGCCCCTGCCCCAGGCCCTCTACGTGCACTCGCACTGGACAGCGGGCGGGCAGAAGATGTCGAAGAGCCTGGGCAATGTGGTGGACCCCCTGGAGAGGTGCCAGGACTTCACCGCAGATGGGATGAGGTACTTCCTGCTCAGACAGGGCGTCCCGGACTCGGACTGCGACTACTACGACGACAAGGTGGTGAAGCTGCTCAACGCCGAGCTGGCGGACTCTCTCGGGGGGCTCCTGAGCCGCTGCACGGCCCCCGCCCTCAACCCGCGCCAGGTGTACCCCAGCTTCTGCGGCC